GCAAAAGGTGCAGGTTCTTTAGGTTGTTCGTCTGGCAGTTATGTGGTAATGTGTATGATGGGCATTCACTGAAAGTGTGTGAGTGTATATGTGTATGCCACACAACAAGGAACTGTGCAATTTTGTAGCTCTTCTTAAATGTAATATTATGATATTGGTAAGAAAATAATGAAAAGTACTTTTTATCTGGCCTTAGGATGCTTCTATATTAAAACTTTTTAGCAGTGTGGGAATTTCAGACATCCTTAGAATCCATAATACATCAAACCATAATAAAAGCACATTGAACTTACATCTAGCTAATGTCCATGTAATATGGTATGAGTATACCTGTAAATATCAGTGCTTTTAAAAATTATGACACGTGTGTTTGAATATGATTTTAAAAAGTCAATATACCTTCTTTCTAGGAACTTGAAGCTCTCCTTTGTGTGTTATTTAAAATACCACTTTGAGCTTGTAGGCATGAAAAATATAATTTCTTTCCCATTTCACAGTTGGAAAAACTGAATTACGGGAACAATGCTAGTAATTATCCATGATTAATAGAGGTGTGTATGTAAATCAGCCTGAATAAGTGTGTGAAATTAGATGTGCTGATGCCAGATAGCTCTGCTCATGTTTTTAAAAGATGAATGCTTTCATATAAATCTGTGTGAGTTGGGCATACATCTCACTGTATTAAGCATATTTGAAAATAGATTCTGTAAAAATGTAAGGACACTAAAGTAACTGAGAGTTATAAGCACTGTAATATATAAAATAAATTAGATGAACATTTAAAATTCACTGGAAAGATGCATATCTAATGAACATGAATGTATACATAAGGGTGATTATTAATATTCTACAGATTTATATATGTGTCTGGGTATAACAGGGGTAGGCTGAAATTTAGGTGTCATTTTATCATTAAAAAGTGTGAGAGAAAAGTGCATGTCTCTTTCTTAGGGTTGTGGGGATTGAGTTAATGCAGGCAAAAGCCTTTAAAACTCTAATGGTACATGAGAAGCCTATTATGTATGTTAGCTATTGTTATTATTAATATTATTACCATTATTAGACAAAGTAAAATACTGTTGTATTAAGGAGATGAAAAGAAGCTTTTCTTAATAATACTAAGGATGGTATTCTACAGAAAATAAATGAAAGTAGAAACTATTCAGTATTCTTCACAACATGAGACATGTTCAAAATTTTTCTCCCATTTGACCTCTCATCCTTTTGGAATCTGATTTAAAAACCTATTCCTGGGAGTGCCAGGTGAGGGCGGATATATCCACTCCTCTGACTGTAGATAGAATCTGGCTGCTCTGATGCCAGGCCTGCCTGTAAGAATATCAGTCTCCCTTTGGGAGAAAACATGCCAGGCTGACTTCAGATTTCTGCGAGCCTGGCTTGTTTGTGGTTTGGATTTTAATTTCTTTTTAAACTTTAATATTGGGAGGGGGTGGTTTGTTTTGTTTTCTGAAAAAGGTTTGGACAGCTGTATTAATCATGCAAACCCAGCCATGTGCAATGCATTTTATCAATGGAAAAACAGGGATGGAATGGCAAGCAGCTGTGAACAAACCCAGTGCCATGCCTGAACCTGGAAGATAATCTCAACATTTCCCAAACCCACTTGCCACATGGGGTTAGTGAATGGAAAGGCTGTTCACTTGGGATAAATAATCAGATGGGAGGCAAACAAGTGAGACACATTCCAGGATTTGTTTTGTTTTGTTTCAAAGTGGCAGCGATCAGAAAGGGATAGGCTGATTGAGTCCAGAGAGCCCCATACTCAAGGGAATTTTTCGCTTGAGAGTTACATAAACAAAACGGTTGTTTGCCCTCGTCCTTGTCCCTTGTTTCACTTCATTTTAATTTTCTGAGGCTGATTTCAACACTTCATTCTGAACCTACAGTCCTCAATGTGAGAGTGTCTCTGGGTGCACGTCCATTATGAAGAAGAGCTAGGCATGAGTACACTGATGGGGAAAAATGTTATCATTGCTGAGTACCCAGAACGCTTAGGAAACAGTGTCAACCTCACAAAGTGAGAGAAGTTCCCCCAGACATTGAGAGCTGACTCTTTCCTTACTTTGCAATTCAGTGGATTTTCTGCAGCAATATAGTCGGAGGTACTTATGCAAATTGATGCAATTCAGGACTCATTTTAGAATAAATAAAGCTAAATTAAAATTAATGGAAGAAAACACCTATCAGAAACAGATCAAGGATGGAACACTATTTTATTTATATCTTTTATATATTTATATATATAAATATATATATATATTTATATATAAACTAAGGAGCAGGGAAGCAAACTGGTTTTATATTTTGTTTTGTTTTTTGGCAGGGGGAAGGACATATGAAAATTTCTGATTGGTCACAGCCAATATAAATTATCCATTGGTGGAATTCCAGCATTATTATTATCACTGCAGAAAATCAAGCAATATGATGAAGGAAACCCAAGGGAAATGCATTTGATTTATTGAGCCTTGTTTTTGTTTAATCACAGCTTGAAAGGGTTTAGGACTGCATTCCTGCTGTGACTCTGCTGTGCATCCCCAGTCAGCTTGATGAGCTATGTAGAGTGGGGATAGGAGGGAAGATCCTCCAATGAGAGATATGAACAATAAAGCAGCCGAAATGAAACATCTATCTTTGTGAGGTTGGAAATTAGGGAAGAAAGCTCTCCTTTTTATAATGGGAGGATAGAAAAAAAATCTTTGTGACTTTTGAAACACCCATTTTCAAAACACCTTAAGGAAATTAATTGCCTTAAAATCTTTAGGCCATTTTACATCAACCAACTTCTAAGAGACAATTGATATTTTAGTAATGAAATTGAAGAGTTCACAAGGATGATGACAATATATTATATTCAATTAAATGAAGATGCCTTGCATTATAGCTATGATCACAGTGAGGCATGCTTTTCATAGATATTGGGTACTTAATTGGCACCATAAAAAGGGTTAAGCATCCTATTGTTAGTGTTTTTTTCAATGGGAAGCTGCATTTCTCTTGGGTTACCCTAGATTGGAAAGAGAAGAAAAGTGAATCAATCTCAAGGAAGTTAAAGTCCTTGTAAAAAATAGAAAACTTAAGAGGGGACTCTCATTGTATAGCAGACTCTTACACCAGCCATCCCAAGTCTTAATGAACAGCTTTTCAATTTCCACTAGCAGAAGACCGAAGCATTAGTAGAAGATAAACTATATTCTCTAAAAACTATTGGATCTAAGAAAGCTAACTACAGTCTACCTACAATGTAAAATCAAACTAGGGTCATTCTCCAATCAACAGTTGAGTTTGTGGGAAATATAAAGTTCAGCAAAATCCCTTGTGCTCCATCCCTAGTCCAGACTGTTTTTCAGTATCTGAAAAGCTGTCCTTTGTGAAAGGTGTCTGGCTTCACTTTGTTCAAAGTTACATATATCTGAATGAGTGACCAGATAAATATTTGAGTTGGTGGCTGCAGAACTGCTCTCACAAAGGATACCTAGAATCACAGTGATACTGTACAAAGCTCATCTCAGATGGGGCATGACCTCTTTGAAAATGCTATCCAATGGTACAAATGCTTATGTATGTGTTTTTCATATCCACATATTTGCAAGATGGCAACATGATAAAATGGTGTCAATCTCTGCAGCAACGCTAGAACATAAATGTGTTAAAATAATTGTGGCATGTCAAGAATTCAAAATGGGATATTTTTCCGTGAACAGTGAGTATCATGTCAAGTTTAAAAAACAGGCACATTTTAACAGTCTTATTTTTAGTGGCTGGGATTAGAAACAGATTTCATTGTTTTAGGGAAGCTTTTTTTTATTATTAAACAGGGTTCTTCTAAGCTTTCATACTAAAAATAGTTTGTCCTCTTTTTAAAAGTTGACAACAACTCTTTTATTAAGCTGTCTAGTTGATCCTTGAAATCTTGCAACCCTTAGTTCAAAAATAATTAAAATGCATTTGCATATGTGAATACATATACATGTGACACATTGCATTATTGACACTGAATACACTCAAGTTTGCATGAATTTATAGTTTGGACAAATGTTAATGAAACATGATTCATCTTCAAACTTATAAAACAGCAGCTTTCTACCTTTAATTCTGAGCACATTTCCTTTATAGTGTGTATGATAATCTTGTTTAATTGGATTTATTTCTTCCACGCTAGGCCCCGCATGGCCTAGTTTCCATTTTTTCTCAGGTCTTTGAGTGCTATTTGCAAATCACTTTTCTAGAATTTAATTTCAATGGTAGGTTGGTTTCATTTCGGATTTTTTATATTGTTTTAATTTTATTTGCCAATTTCCCTTTAAATAGCCTTAAGCTAGAAAGTTGTGGCTGCAGCTTGCATCTAAATATGATGTAGGAGGCAAAATTTAATTTGAGTGCATATAAAGTTTATGAAAAGGAATTCAGAATGATTATCCTGTTTTTTCATTTATGTTTTCTAAGATAGGTATATTTAAAAGGAAGAAAAATACCCATAAATTGGCCAAGATTTTAAGAGAAAATAATGTCTTTGCTATAATCTGGTTTCAATGATTAACCTTAAGCAGTATATACATTAATTTTTACAAGTAATACCCTTCAGATTTAGACTGTATAACGTTCCAACTGTGAGGATGGTCAGTCAAAAATTTGCATATCTGTGGCTTGAGAATTTAACTGGCTGTGTCCCAAATATATGAGTTCCTAGTTACTTGTAATAAATACTGACTGTAGAAAAAAATTGCTTGCTGAGTTTAGGATTGCCTTCACAGCTACTGAACAATTTGAAGATGAGTAGGATGATAGTCTTGTTCCATGCCTATTCAACTGATGTTGGAAACAACTAATTGACTTTTATTAAAAGTTTTAAGGGAAAAAATGATTTACATTGTATGTGAATTTTATGAATGTGTTTTTTTCCCTTTGTGTGTTTTGCATGTTATAGATGATGGAGAATGACCCAGGAAGAGAGCTACAGTGATAAAAATCATACTGACCTTGAATGGGGTGGGGGATTGTGGGTAAAACACGTTCTAAAGGGGAAAAAATAGTAATCATCATGGAGAATTTAAATATATATCTTTCTTATGTTTGCTTATTCAAACAGTTATACAACAGATGAATTTCCAGGCTTACAGGATCATATCTCTCATAAAACATTCATCTGTACTTCCTATTAACATTAAACTATCAAAGAAATGTATTAATAAAATTAAAAATACAGAGACTTTAAAAAGTTTAGCTAGTGTAGGGGACAACATCAGATTGTGGTAACCCTACATACAGAATTCTACTGAAAGTAACCCACCACCAAGATTTTAGATCTTTTAGAGAGTTGGAGTTGAGGGTGTTTACAGTCGCGATCAAATTCAGGTGATACATCTTGGGTCTTGGTTCTTGTCTCTTTAGCTCATGACAGAAGAATGTGTGTCAGCTACAGATTTCTTTCCTCTCTCTAAGCCCTATAGTTCATATCAGCTTTAGACAAGCATCTGAAAAATTTCCTGTGGGTAATATTAGTGCAACTTTTCCCTCAGGTTTTTACTTCCACATTGCTAATACCAATATAGGAGTAAAGTCAAGGTGACAGGTTCCTTAGCATAACTTTATTTTTAGTGTATTCCTTAATTCCCCCTTTTTATAATACAATCTCACCTGAAATTTGATCAACCAATCCAATTTACTTGATGATACATTCTATTGAGTATAACAGGATTTTTTTTTGAACACTGAGGTCTTAGTTTATAAGTGTCTCGTAGTCCCATACATAAACTACCTACCATAAACAGAATGTACTGACAGAGTTCAGGATTTAAGGTGTCCTTCATTTAACTCGAGAAAAGTTTAAATCCTCTTCTGAGAGTCTTTCAGAAATACGGAATGGAGTATTAGCGGGAGAATGTATTATTTGCTAACCCCCCAATTTTGCGATAGTGTAACATAATTAGCACATGCTTTTCTACATTTCTCCTAGCAGCTTGATTGAATAAAGACCAATGAGAAGTGAAAATCAACAAAAATCAAAACCACAGTAAGAAAAGCATTATGTGCATATTCAAACCTGATAGCCCACCATCTTGTACCATATGCATGAAAAAGTAGATTTTACCTGGACTTTGGGCACTCTATGCATCTGGACACTGAGAAAACTCAGTCTCCTTGCAGTCAGCTTTTCTGTAGCTTGGCTGAAGTTGTCACTTAAATATGAAAGTTTCCTAAGTCCATTAATATGGAGCAGGTCAACAGCAGCCCAGTGAACAACTGTGTCTTAGTTACACAAGTGTCAAATAAAAAAATGGTTTAAACCTCCACTGGTTATTTGGTATTAAGTTTCCAGCTTTGAAAATAAGTAGCTAAACTGCTTTTAGCATTTTTGCAGCAGTTGGAGACCACTGTCCCATATTATACTTTTTCTACTGAATTTTATTTTTATTATTACTATTATTAGACTGTTTAAATGACTCAGCTTAGTATTTTCTCATCATGCTGTTCGCAGCTGGGAAAATGCACTCTGCCCTTATTTCCACATGACCGTTTATATGGCTTAACCATCTCGCCCACCCTCCTTTCAGTGCCTTTCAGCTGCTTCTCAGCTTGTTATTAGCGTCTTGGCTCCACCCTGTTATCATTGTCTTAGGTCTATCACACCCCATTAGTCATTCTCATTCTCTTAATTCCATCCTATTCACGTATCATTCTTAGATGCCTCTCCATCCCAGTTTGTATTCTTATTCTTTGACCATTATTCTGCTGCTGTTTTATACTTCATGCTAGGGTTTGTAGAATCCTGTAAGAGTGTAAAGTGAATACTACTTAGGAGGAAAAAGAAAATTTCCAACTTTTGATTTTCAAAAGTAAGGGAGGGCAGAGCCCTTGGTGCCACGTGCTTCTCCTTTGGCTGCTGCTGCTTGAGGTAAACACACTTGGCAGCTGACTGGGAGATTTCGGGAACAGACTACAAGATTGTCCCTAGTACTATGGGCTGTGTCTCTTAGGAAGGTCTCTTTTTTTGTTTGTTTTTGAGACAGTCTTACTCCGTCGCCAGGGCCAGTCTGGAGTGCAGTGGGCGATCTTGGCTCACTGTAACCTCCGCCTCCCGGGTTCAAGCAATTCTCCTGCCTCAGCCTCCCGAGTAGCTGGGACTACAGGCGTGCGCCATTATGCCCAGCTAATTTTTGTATTTTTAGTAGAGACGAGGTTTCACCATGTTGGCCAGGATGATCTTGATCTCTTGCTCTCGTGATCCGCCGGCCTCAGCCTCCCAAAGTGCTGGGATTACAGGCGTGAGCCGCTGCTTCCGACCTTAGGAAGGTCTCAGCTCTGAGCTTTGGTTTCTTATCTGTTAAGTGGTTGGGGCAGGGGAGGTGTATCCACAGACAGCCTACTTAAGGATTTTGCATCTAGTGCTTCAGACTACATGTGGGTAGATAGTTGCTCAAACTGTTTTATTGTGTGGTATCTAAAAGTTGCTGGTTAAAAGGCTTTGCCAAGTCTTCACTCTGTTAATCAGATTAGAGTGCAGTGGTTTGATTTTGGTTCAGTGCCTTCCGCCTCCCAGGCTCAAGCAACCCTCCCACTTCAGCCTCCCTAGTGGGTGGGACCACAGACGCACACCACCATGCCTGGGTGATTTTTTTTTTTTTTTTTTTGTATTTTTGGTAGAGCTGGGGTTCTGCCAAGTTGCCCAGGCTGGTCTCAAACTCCTGAACTCAAGAAATCCACCCACCTCAGCCTCAGCTGGGATTACAGGCATGAGCCGCTGCGCCTGGTCTAGGCTTTGCCAAGTCTTAACTAGCAACATCAAGTGGTGTATGTTTAAATAGCAAGCCTTTCAAATAACAAAATGGTTTTTTAAAGAAAATGGGGATTATAAAGAGTCCCTCTTTTTTAAGACTCCCTCTAGTGCTGGATTACTTAGGTAGTACTTGAAATTTAGTCAACTATGGCTTTACAAGTTAATGATATTTTAAAGTTTAAAAAGAAAATTAAAAGCGTCTCCTACACACCTACACACAGATGCAGCAAAGCCCAGTGAAGAGTTTTTTTTTTTTTGTATTTTTCTTCTTTTATACTCAAAAGCCTCAAAAGACCTTTATAATCCTCGAATTTCTCTAAAGCACAAGGTAATCAATCAGTGGGATTGTTCTTTAATGTGAGGGAATATTCTCCTCCTAGACCAAATGCTGACTACTAGGCCGGAATATTCACTGAGAAGTTCAACATGCCAAAGATAACCCAATCATCAAACTCATCTGGTGGTAGCAGGCTATTGGGGGTTAATGAAAATGGAGGTGGGAGGCAGTGCTCTTGGGTGAGAAGGGATAGAGCAGTATAAAGACAGTGCAGAGACCTCATTGAGTGAGAAAAAGGAGAAAAAAAGATTCTTCCCACCTCCAAACTTACAAGATATATTTCTTAACATTGATGCCCACATACAGAAATGCAGATGTGTTGATTTAGGGCCTGCACTCTTGAAATAGACTCCCTGAATTTAAATCTCAAGCTCAGTCCTACTTAGTTGCACTCATCACTTAACTTTTTTATGTAATGGAGAAACAGAAGTACATAGTAGGGTTGTTGTGATGCGTGCCTATAGTCCCAGCTACTTAGGAGGCCGAAGCAGAAAGATGTCTATAGCTCAAGGGTTCCGGGCTGTGGTGTACTCTGCTGATTGGGTGTCTGTCTGCACTGGTTGAATACGGTGGCCTCCCAGGAGTCTGACACCAACAGGTTGTCTAAGGAGGGTCAAACTGGCAAACTGGCACAGGTCAGAAATAGAGCAGATTGAAACTCCTATGCTGATCAGCAGTGGAATCATGCCTGCGAGTGGCCACTGCACTTTATTCTGGGCAACATAGCAAGAGCCGTTTCTGATACAAAAATATAATTTAAAAAAATCAGATCATGTATGTGAAACATTTAGCACAGCAGATACTGCAGAGTACATTGCACTCAATAAGAAGTGGTAACATTTAAATTATCACCTTTCTTCCTCCATATCAATTATTATAAATCTAACTCAACATGAGCATAAAACAAGATAAACCTATCACCTTTGTGGGTGAATTTTAGTTATCAGTCTGGAAACAGAGTCTGTTATGTTACTTATGCAGACAGTGGAACTTCCCTTGGCATCACTCGAAGTCCAAGTTTTCATCTATGTGAGGCATATCCCCCTGTCTGACAAAGACTAGGGAGCCAAATCCTTACCCATACATTGTGTCATTGCATTAATGCATTCAAAAAGTTATATAAGGTAAAGCTTAGCCCAAGGATGAAGAAAAAGATATGCAGGGCATTACTTGGTTATACAAACTGAAGTAGTGTAGATCTTTGACAGAGTGCTGGAATGTGTGGAGAACTAGATGAATGAGAAAGGAATGCTTTCACCAGCTCAGGAAAATTTGCTATGAATACAATGTATTCTTACACTCTCATTCCATGATTTTGACCCCTCTGGAGATCAGTATTTGAATAGAGAGTGGGGAAGTGTATACCTGCATGTGACCGCAAGTTGACACTGTGTGAAAAGTCAGCTCATCGCTGTGGTGGACATGGCTGGAAATGTGCTGACACACCAAAGAAGATGAATAATTGCCAACTCTTCAGGGGCTCTGGCTCTGAGTTTTTACCTGCTGCTGCCTCTGGCCGGCAGAGGCTCACCAGCTGCCTGTTATTCTCTGGACTGGCTTGGTCAGCAGAGCACCCTGCTGTCCACACAGTGCTTCTGTCAGGGCTGTGGCCACAGACACCCGCCCCCAAGCATTTCTTCCCTCCTGACTCTGTTCTATGGAAAATTACCTCTGCTGACACTTGCACAGTGTTTTCCTTTTCCCATTAATCCTGTTTATTTGAATGTAAATAATATTTACTCACACAAGTACTCTTAATCTTCCCCTCCTTCCTTTTATTCTCTCTCCCTCCTTTCCTCCCTCCCTCCCTCCCTCCCTCCCTCCCTCCCTCCCTCCCTTCCTTCCTTCCTTCCTTCCTTCCTTCCTTCCTTCCTTCCTTCCTTCCTCCTTCCTCCCTCCCTCCTTCCCTTCCTTTCCTCTCTCCCTCCCTTCCTTCCTTCCTTCCCTCCTTCCTTCCTTCCTCCCTCCTCCCTCCCTCTTTCCCTCCCTCCCTCCCCCCCTTCCATTCTTCTTTCCTTCCATTTTTCCTCCCCTCCTCCTTTTCTTTCTCTATCTCCCTCTCTTTTCCTTTCTTTTCTTTTGGAACTCTGTGAAATTATCAGGTTCTAGCTATGCAGGCTGTAAAAACACATCTCCCAAAACTAACTGGTGGTGAGTGGGTGGGTGGAGGGAGTGCCATTCCTGTTACAAAAGAAGCAGAGCTTCTCCCCCAAAATGTTTGTTCTTAGGCCTTGGAACTAAGAAATAGTGCAATAGATTCACCAATATTCTGCAATTTGAATTGTTCCTTTTCACCTCAAAGCCTAATGATCTTTCATATTTTATTTTTCACTAAGTATTATATCTCCTAACTTTACAATAACGGTGGGACATCAATTCTAGACCAAATCCTGATGCATGTGGTGCCTCTGCATGCTGCCGAAGACACAACTGTGGTAGTGCCTATGTGGGACCACCAGGAGTAGTACATCATTAACCACTGCACCACATAATCCTCAAATATATAATGGAGGGTGATCTCTACTAAATCATAAAGGGAAGTGTGATAGGATACACTGGTCTGGTTATTCCCTGATTCTCAGCATGCAAACAGAAACTCTGTAAAATTAAGGTTAAGTCCTTTAAATGGGCTTCTGTTATAGGGCATTGGTATTGCAGGGCTTGATGTTACCTTCCATGGCCATTAGCAGTATCTCTTTGCCTTTGACTTAGTCTATGCTCACTTTCCCTTCTCCCTCAAGTATTCCATCCTTCCAACCTCTTTCTTTTTCCTCTCTCTCAGTCTACTGGCAACATTTTATTTATTATTTGATGTATCATTAGCATAGTTCTTAGTCTAGGTTAAATAGAAAGACAATATACTTTAATGCAAATGTGTAATTTTTCACTTACTGTAACTCATCCAATTATTCTATCTTCTCCTTACTCATCTCTATACAACCTTCTTTTTAAGTTTTAAAGTATATGTTGTTATACTTAACCAGGTCAACTTAGATTTGGTAAATCTTAAATTCACAGTTGATGGTTTTCACCCCCACCATTTATGGAATCCTTAATGTTAGGAATGAATCAGGTAACTACAGTTCTTAAGAAGTATATCCTCAAGTGTCTTACAGATATTGATGTCTCTAGTTGAGGTAGGGAATGCTGATGTTTGGTCTTTGGAGACAAGTAAACAGGTTGTGAATTTTAAGCTTTATATAGATGCAGCATTTGTATAGCTGTATCTCATCAAACTGTCACAGACTGAAGTCAATGAGAGTTATGAATGAGAAACTAAGGCCAGAGTTAGAGTTGTTTGTGGTTGCTGTTTTCATAAGTGGAGTTCAATCTTAAACAGTTTTAAAATGGCTTTAACACTACATTTCAAGAGAACTCTCACTTAAATTGATTTTTCTTCTAAAAAAATATATTTTTTTCCTGAAGGCTCATCTAAATGCAATATAGCAAGATAGAGACAGTTCTTCTGGTCATAGTATTTCTAGTTTTTCCAATCGAACCTGTGCAGAAAAAAAAATAAACTTAGTGGTTTTTTTATTCCAGAATAATAATAGTACTTTTCTTTTTTAACTTTTTCCTTTAGTCCAAATGAAACTTTCAGATTCATTCATAACTATTTTGTTTCTTTTGCTTATTCTGCTAAATGTTTCTCTATTCTAAATGTTACCATTTCCTGTGATTCCATTTAGCATCCTTCTGTTTCTCAGGGGGCATCTGCTTCTGTGCTTATAGTCACCTGCCCAACAAGGCAGGGAGTTAGAGACTTGACTCTAACTTGCTGCTAAAGAGCAGGACTCCAAGGTGAGGGTCTCCTATTAACACCGTGACTTTAGAATGACCATGCCCTCCTTGGTCCACTTTCAGGATCTTCTCTGGTCTTCAGAAATGTTCCTTTTTCCTATCATTATATCTCTGTTCCAAAAATATATCAGAAAAGTAATGTCTCCTTCCATCATACAGAGAGCTTTCTGCAACCATTTTTCCTCCTTTAGATGTTATATTATGCTTTAATCATTTATTCCACTCTTCCTCTTGTATTGTTAAAAAGATACTTTTTTTCCTAGCCTCTCCCTTCTCTCATCACCTTATTCATTCTCGCTGAATATTTCTTCCTTAATCACTCTTATTACTGCCTTAAAAACACACACACACACACACACACACACACAAACAAAACTGGTATCCATTTCCAGGCTCTTACATTACCTCTGCTTCCTAAAGGACCACTTCCAAAGAGACTTGTATTCTCTGAATATTTTTTCAGTTTAAATAACTAGGAAAAAACAAAACAACGAGAAAACTAAAGAAAAACAAAATGTAGGCAGTTATCAGAAGCAAGAAAGAATATAGAGAGAAGGTGCTCCATTTGTAAGTCCTGCCTACTCACAGAGATTGAGAGCCCTGCGTTTTTGTTTAGGTGCATATATCCTTATTTGTGTTTAAGTGAACTTTTAATAGACAAGGGAATGGTTTTCGTGTTTTTCATGTAAAAAGTCAATTTAATTCCGCCAAGTTGGGCCCTGCTTTGGCGTACTTACTGAAAAGGACGAGGCTGGCATTGGTGACCCCGAGCTTGTTGGCAGCCACGCAGGTGTAGTTGCCATAGTGCTCTTCAGTGACGTTGGTCACCGTCAGGGAAGACTGGCCCTCGGTGCTCTTAATCTCAAGGCCATTGGCACTGTTTATCCTAAGAGTTCAAACACAGAAGAATAGAAAGGAACACCGGTGAAGATTTTCGCTTTAGATTCTTTCCCCATCCTGACACTGGAGGAAAAGGAGAGAAAGGAAGTAGCCAGAGTTTGTTGTTCCATGCCCAATTCCTATTTTAATTGTGCAGTGCCATATTATCAGAATCAATGTCCATCAACAGAGAAAAACAGGAAACGGGTTTGAGTTTCTGTTATAGGCAAGAAAGACATGCAGGTGAAAACTACCCATTGAACTGTTTTTGTATTTTACCTGGCTGATTTTGGACTTCAGCTTAAGAGCTACAGCCCCCAAAGAATTTGAAAGAAACATTAAAAAGGAAGATCGTAAGAATATAGTTCTAAGTAATTACAACTAGCTTGGCTTTGGCTTTGTTGTGAGGCTTCTGGTGACCCCAGGCCCAAGCAGTGAAGCCACGGGGGATGGTAGGTTTGGCACATACCTAGTGTCATCCCGGTACCACTCAAAGTCAGGTGCAGGCACTGCCGAGGCCTCACATTTGAGTGAAGCTTGTCGTCCTGTGGTGGCTTCATTACTCTTGGATTCTGTGATAGTGGGAGGATCTGTAGGAAGGACAGGCACACAGGTTTATATGAGGGTCGACATGCTTATCAGGAAGGAATGAAGAAGGACAATGTGATTAGAGAGATGCAGGAAGGGAGCCATCTTAAAGCTCCATTTGTGTGAATTATGTGATCAGCTAAATGGGGTTATCACCAAAAAACTAAAAAAAAAAAAAAAAGATAAGATAATTTATGAAAACATAGCCTTGGTTTATTTAAATGAGACACTTGGCAGGGTTTTATCCCCTTCTCCAATCGGTCATGGTATTACAATCATAGACTATAGATATTTTTCTGGTCTTTTTAGAAATGAAGCAATGATACCAAAGGACTTAGGAATCTCAATGTATAATTTGACCATTTTTCTTTTTCTTCTTGTTATTATAGTTTGAGATGGCCTTGAGGAGTCTGATGAAAATGATAGCCAGCTAACAACCGAAGTTTGGTCTGATATTATTGTAGGATTCATAAAGAAGCAAACAAGCAAAACTAGTATTAGGTAATTACCTTATGTATTCGCTTGTCACCACAACCAGGTAAATTTAGGTAAATTTAGCTTTTATGAGTGGGGGTATCGTTTAAAGTCCATCCTGGTGCATAGAAGACTTACTGGCATATCAGTCTTCTATTCTCTCTGGCAGTTGTGCCCTTGATTTTTATGCCCAGGAATGAGTCTACAAAACTATCACAGGCTTGAAATCAGCTGGGAAACACATTTGACACTCTAATTTTCCATGACTCATTCAAACAATCCTATGAGGATGGAAAAAATGTTTGTACATCCACTCGAATGTGTTAGGATTGTAGACTCAAGCTCCTGCACTTGATGATGCTGTGTTTGGGCAGGTTATGGACCTTCAAGGAGAGAAGGCCTTTCCTATCCAAAGGTTGTTTGCCAGAAAATGGCAGCTTGGCTAAGTACACATGGGAAAAACAGATCCTAACACTCTGTTTAGACTTTGTAGCTGAAAAAGCTCATCTAGGAAAATAAATTAATGTTTCTGTACAAATTCGTTAAGCCCTGGCCCTTCAGCACTTGGTCTATCTTCCTTCTTTCTGATTTTTTTTTTCATATTCAAAAACTATCACCTAAGTTTTCTACCTGTAGAAGACTGTAATTTTCTGAGTTTAAAAGAATGTATGAGAAAGCATCTGATTTGTCTGCAATTTCCTTTCTCATTTTATTTTCCCATAAGCTTATATATTTTTAAATCACTGTCAGAGTTAGAGCAAATTTGAATAAACACTTGTATGTAAACAGGTGTGCTAAATGGGTTTGTTTTTTGTTTTAGTGCTGTTGGTAGTGTTGTTTTACTTTAGACTTACATTCTTATTCCGCATAAGCACTAAATGGGAAGATGCTGTAGTAAAACGAACGCTGGACTGGAAACTAGGAGTCCTGGGATTTGGTTTGGGTTTGGCTGTTTGGACTTCCCATCATACATTTTCTTTCTGGGCCTTGGTTTTATTGCCTATAAAATGAGGGGATCCTATTTTAATGATCCCCTTTCCAACTGTAAACTCTCCCAATTCTTGTTAAAACTGCTCATTCTTTACAAATGGGCAGTTGGCATCATTATGATCCAAGTGTATTTTCAAACCCTTAATTAATTTAACTCTTAAATTGCTAATTTTCCAAATTATAACTCATTTATTTATTCCATGGGTTAGGAACCAGGATTAGCAGTTGAGAAGAGGAAATCTGAGATCTGATTTTGACTCTACTCTTAACCAGAGCTGTGGTCCAGGCAAACAGCTGTACCAGTTTGAGCCTTTTCTTTATCTTTGAAAAGAATAAGCTAGCTACTAAAACTGGTTATATAGATCGTTAGAGCACATCAGTTCAAAGGCTAATCCAATAATTGGTAGTAGTGGTGCTGTGGGGAGATACTAATAAAGGGATGGGACATAGAATAGAGGTTCTGGGCTTGGATTTAAAGTTTGTTAGACATGAGCTCAAATCCAGGCTCTGTTACTCATTATTTTTCATCACTTGAGAGTTTAATACTTTGCCCATAGTCAAATTGCTTCCATTTCCTCATCTATAATGTTGGGGCTGGGCATGATGGCTCATGCCTATAATCCTAGCCCTTTGGGAGGCACAAGCAGGTGGATCACTTGACATCAGGGGTTTGAGACCAGCCTTGCTAACATGGCAAAACTGCATCTCTACTAAAATACAAAAAACTAGCCAGGTATGGTGGTGTGTGCCTGTAGTCCCAGCTACTCAGGAAGCTGAGGCACAAGAATTGCTTGAACCCAGGAGTTGGAGGTTGCATTAAGCCAAGATCAGGCCAGTGCAGTCCCGCCTGGGCAGCAGAGCAAGACCCTGTCTCAAAAATAAAAAAATGTTGAAACCCAAGGGAGGGAAGTACATTTGAAGGCTGAAAGATAGTAGGCCTCTAAACTGATGAGACTGGAAATTGATTTCATAAGGGTGAGGAAAAGGAATGTTGAAAAGGTAACACCCCGATATCTGGCTGGGCATCTGTGTAATGCTATTCACTGAGATAAGATGCATAAGTAAAGAAATAGACATCCAGTAGCAGAATACTCAATAAATATTAGTTTCCTGTCCTTACTTCTTCTCACTGTATTGGGTTCTTAAGCTGCCAATGACTCTATCACCTGTAGCACAGTGCCCCACTGATGTTGGCTGGAGATAACTTTGCTTATGATTTTGTTTGTTCAAATATCCAATTTGAGAAAGAAGTTTTAGCCACTGTTTGTGAAGTTCTGGAACCACACAGTTATAACTGCCAACTGGTGACTATTTCCCCTCAGTCCCCTACCACCTTGGGAGCCAGGGGAAATAAATGATTTTTTCTGATTGAAACATTTGGGAAGAAGAAACTAGACCTGTTTGGCTCATCCCTTTTCTGTCTTCCTTTTGGGACCAAGCTCTGGCAGGTAGCAGAGGTTCTCCTGTTTCTCCATGACAGAAGTCCTACTTGGGCTCTCCCCTTTCTGCCTTCTTGTGGGCAGGCCTGTCCCACCCCAGGGCTGCTGTTATTGCGGAGGTAAGTCGGCCACACTAAGCTACTATCTCTAGCCACCTTGATCTCTAAAAATGCAAACATTCAGGTCTCCCTGACCACTCTTTCCTTACTTCTCAATTTGTTCGGAACTGAATTACTAAGCAGTAAGCTATTTATTAGCCCCGCGGAGACCCCAGCATGGGGAACTGGTAGTAAACTAGGATCGAGCACTTTCAAGTGTATTAATCTAATCAGCTACAAAAGCCAACTACTTGCTTCTCTCTTTGAAAACTTAGGAGTTTTCTTGTACCAGGGTAAATCCATGAATACTGATAAATACATAAAGAGCTCATTGTTTCTAATATTTTTCAAATGACATCATGGTGCAAGTTTATTTTTGCATGGCTTGTTGAAATAAACATTTCAAAATTCATTTGTAATGAATTCTATATAGGTGAGGCTAAGAAAGACTATTACAAATCACACAGCAACATGCCTTGTGTAGTTAAAATAATAGATGTCCTTACTCAAAATATGGTTATAATAAAAATGTGGCTCCATAAAAATGCTGCACAGATGCATTGTTATTCTTTATGTGACTTTGGAATAGCTTACAATTGCCAAAGGACTCTTCCAGTTTACATTAATTCAAAATTCCATGCTCTGAAAATGTTAATAGGGCCTTTCTTCTTCTGACATCACCAATAACAAGACTCTTTCAATCAGAATGAATATGGTAACAAAACAGAGGACTAGAAAAACAAAATATCATTCATTTAATCTTACTAATATTGGGAATATTAGTATAAAAGAATAACATTCTGAATAGAAAACTTAATGTATAGTCATTTATTGCATGTCAGCACTCTGCTAGGTTTTAGATATCCTCTTTACTTAAATAATTAGCCCTAGGAGGTAAATATGATTAATCTCATTTTATGAAAGAGAAGATAGGCCTACAGAGGGTTAGTAAGTGGTCTAGTTCACATCATTTGACAGAGCCTGGATTTAACCCCAGGTCTATCATGCCCTGAAACCCATGCTCTGAACCTTTCCACTGTGGTACTTCCATTTGAATGAGTTCTTTTGGAGAACAATGAATTCCTTTTTTCTTTTTAGTATAAAGGACTTGTTCATTTTTTTATTTTTTAAAAATTATACTTTAAGTTCTGGGATACATGTGCAGAACGTGCAGGTTTGTTACGTAGGTATACACATGCCATGGTGGTTTGCTGCACTCATCAAGGAGGACAATGAATTTCTAACAGGAAAAAATACCATTCAGGGGAGGGAACATGCCGGTAGATGGAAAGGTAAACATTGCATATTTCTATTATTTACAGGGTACCAACAGTGGCACAACATGCAGTGACACAGTGGATATAAGCCTGTATTAGGAGTCAGGAAATGCAGACTCAGTCTCTGCTAGTGCCACTTAGGTTGTTACCATGAGACATAATGATCCCCTGCAGCCCCTCACATTTGTTATTTTATAGTAGTAGTATTCACTTGGTGTGAGGGATAAAGAGAGGACCTTGGAGTTAGACCTGGGTTCGAGTTCCAAGTCTACCACACACAAACGTGCTTTGATTTTGTGTCAGAGCATGTTTACACTCACTGAGCTTTGTTTTGGTCCTCTCTACATGGGGATGATATAGATGATCTCCCATGGGTAGCGTGCAGTGATGTAGAAAGCAGCAGAGGCAGAGGGTGTAGGCAATAAAAAACACATTGTCTGTAGATAATTTAGAAATGATAAGAAGACTGATTTAGAGTTGCCTTTTTTTTAAGTCACCATGTGCTAGCAATATCAAACAGTGTATATTAAACAAAACCAGTGATAAAATAAATACTTTTCACTGGGGCAAGCCAGGCCCAATACACCTTTCCATTTGTATTTCCATATAATTGGTGATATAGTTTGACTGTGTCTCTATTCAAACTCTCATCTCAAATTGTAGTCCCCATAATCCCCATGTGTCAAGAAAAGACCAGGTGGAGGTAACTGAATCATGAGGGCAG